TTTTTGAAGAAAAAGCAAGTTTGTAAATATTAAGGTTATGAAATTCATTTTTAAAAAGAAAAAATATTTTTTTTAACGCGTAAAAATGTGCGCTTTTTACGCGTAAAAACGTCGTTTTTTTCAACGCTTGCCTGACGGAGTTGTGTTTTTGCTATATATCGCTATCTTGAATGTTTATGTCAATATTGCTCTTGAATTTTGCAATCAGTGTTTGAATTGAGTGAAGAAAAAAGAAAGAATCAAGCTGTTAACCGAGTGGGCACATTTTTTACCATGCATATTGTTTAACACAGAAGCAAACTTTCGATTCGGAGATTAAAGGTAAGAATTGAATAAATCATTTATTGCTTTCAATGAAGTTTTTCATGGAGGATTATTTTTTCTCATCGTCAACATTTTGTCATCGACGAAAATAAGCTGGATCAATGTACTGTGCTACCGAAATCAGAATCTTATTTCTAGACTCGCACGCATATCAAATATGTTATAGAAAAAATAATGATCAAATAAAACTAGTTTACAGAAATAAAGTATTATGCTGAAAAACTTTCCATGATACGTTCTCAAAAATATACATTGTTGCGCTTTTCTCGAAAACTATTCCTGACAGAGTCAAGTTTGTTTCATATAAAAATTTTTTTATGCACCAGTCTAACACTAATGAATAGTTAACAAAAAGACGATCTCAAGTGTTGAGCAACTCTATCATTTACTTCACAACAAAAAAAAATTACTGCATATGAGAAAACAAAGACAAAAAATGCAGAGTCAGTTATTTTCTTTATTATTCTACGCGAACGTACTTTCAAATACAATCAGTGCACAACAATGAGTGTTAATAGAAACCTAGACACGTTTCAGCTTCCATATATCATTACTCATGTGAATCTTTTCGGCCGAAAAATCTACTCTTGCCACAGGAAATCGAAGATTAGGAAACCAAACATAAATATTTCTCTAGGTTCTTTTCAATGCCTTCAACCCTTTTTTACCTTTTCGTATCGAGGTTTATGCTCATTTGGAAGTAATTTCTGATTATGTCATCCTTTGACCGTATGTCTCACAATGATTCATAAAAGCCCTACCCATTATTTAGAGAGATACAAGATAAATTTACCACAATTGTAAACTACTTAGATGGTTTATGAATTTCTTTTCTTTTGTTTCTAGATTGAGAAAAACTTGATTGATGAGAGAGTGACTGGATGTGAGTCAGAAAGATGTCAGTGTGAGATTAGATGTCGGTGTGAATTTGACTTCCACGTAAATCCACACTCAGATATTATGGTGCATATATGAGGCTCGCGCTGACGACGTCAACTCATCCTTCTATCTCCCGTGCTCGTTGTTTTAGCATGAGATGGCGAAAAGAACTGTAGCTACCGAAATCATCATTCTTTGAATGAATGCAGAAGGAAGAGGCAGAAGCAATTGAGTTAATATGCACTGGTCTCGATCGAAAATGTCCTGATGATTTTGTTGCATTGTATTGTAAGAATCTTATTGGTTGTAAACCAACGTATATTGGTGTCGTCTGTTGTGCCATACATACAAATATTGCTTTCTATGTTTAGTGATTCGCACAGAAAATACTCAATTGAGTACTTAGAGATAACATTAAATCGTATCCACCTCCGCAGTCCTCTAAGCAACTTTCGAAATGTGATAGATTCATTCTGTTCGTTTTTTTTAATCAGAATTCATCATATACATGATGTACCAACAATCTTTATGTTGACCATAATTTAGTACAGATCAATAATACAACTTTCACGTTGTTTGCAAAAGATACATCATGAAATTTTCTACACGCTTCTATAAAGCTTCATTTTCTAACTTGCCGGAGCTTCTCGAAGTATCATCTTGGATTTGGCACCAGAGTATTTTATGCATTGAGTAGACTTCTGTGGATAATGAGTTACTCTAAATGGACAACTGCACATAGCGTATTTCTGAACAATCAAATGACTTTTTACTCAAATTTCCCTTTATGATTGCTGTTTACCAGCAAAATCATATTTTCGATTTTTGATTTGAAACTTCGCCAAAATAAAAACCTCAACTAGACTAGTTTACATAAACTTCACTATCAAGAACAACAACAAAACACTATAGTCAACATTATTCTGAGAAGAGCTACAAAAGATACATGATTCTTGTTTTTTTTTTGGTCACTCGATTTGAATTATGATGAAGATAAATTCGCTATTCTCAAGCCGAATTTTGGTTCTAATACTAAAGAACCTATTATTTTGCGGATATGAGCTTAGGATTTCTTTTTATCAACAAATTCATCCACATCACACTCACGATTAATATCAATAGAATTCAATATACTTTGACCGAATCTATACGCAGTTTAGTTCGCTCAACACTATGAAGTTCCTCTCTATGAAACACACTTGAGAATCAAAATTACATAGAAGCGGACACACTGTTTCCATGCTGCCAATATTCTTTTTTGTTAAAACAGATCATAATAATTAATTATTTTCCAGTATGTTCGTGGAATGATTCTAATCTTTAATATGTATAAAAAATTAATTTTTGTGTTCTTGTTTTTTCTATCTAGTAATTATTATCCTCTTTCTAATTTGATCAATATAAGCCATGCAAAAATATTTTCTAGAAATTTGAGACTTTGTCGTGGAAAAAAATTAAATAGCGCAAGATGATAATAATTAAATGATATATGCATATAAGATTAAGATTGAATCATCTTCCACCAAAGACATCAGCAATTTTATTTTCAACTAGAAAGGATGATCAGATGTTGAGAACGAGTAGCTAGATTGAATCGTAAGTAATGCGTTGAGTGGAAGATAAGTCGGCTGCTGCACTGAGTGCAATCAGTCGCTTAATCAAAAGACAACATGATGGAAGTGAAGTGTAATGAATAGAGGTTCGTACAATCGAAATATTTGATTATACACTCTCTTGAACTTCTTAACAAATACAGACTAGAAGCTATATGGAAACTATTACATTTTGTTTTTTATTCTAAGAACTATAACAGTTGAATAGAGAAGTATAATTTTTATGATGAAGCGTATGAATGCTGGCGGCATTAAAAAAGAAAAAAGATATGTTTGGTTTAAAAGCGATTATTGAATATATCTTAGCAACTGTTTGTTGTAATAACAGGTCACTGGTTAATATCATTCAAAACACATTGAAAAACTTTAATTCTCTACAATGACTGATAATATAAAATGTGTTAATTGTCAATCGATGGCTAATTTAATAATACATCGACAACATTCACATGGTTTATGCGACGGTTTCACCACGATTTTATTTTATGCACGTGAAATGCAAAAATTAGCTGAAGAAGTTCAATCATATAGTAGAGAACATCATATTGAATTAGGCGATATTGAATGGAAAGTATTTTCTGATAATTGGCCAAATATTTTTATTCATAATTCTGAACAAATTCGTAATAGTCATGTTCTATTCTTAGCTTCATTTCATAGTCCACAAACAATTTTTGAACAAATTTCACTTCTTTATCATTTACCAAAATATCTTTGTCGTTCATTAAAAGTTCTTTTACCATATTTTCCAACGGGTACAATGGAACGTATACAAATTCAAGGTGAAATAGCCACAGCTTATTCGCTTGCACAAATGCTTTCATCAATTCCATTAACACGTACTGGTCCATGTGAAGTTGTTATATTTGATATTCATGCATTACAAAATCAATTTTATTTTTCATCAAATGTTATTGTTCGTCTTGAATCAACAGTTGGATTATTATTAGATGCATTAAATAATCGAGAAAACCAAAACGAAAAATTTGCTATCGCATTTCCAGATGATGGAGCTCATAAAAGATTTGCTCATATGTTTGAAGAAAATAGATATCCGATTGTAATTTGTAGCAAAATTCGAGAAGATGATAAACGTATTACAACTATCAAGGAAGGTTCGTTTTAAACTTTTTACATAAATATATTAAAATGTAAATCATTTTTTTCTTCTAAAGGTAATCCAACAGGTTATCATTGTATAATTATTGATGATTTAGTACAATCAGGTGGTACACTTATTGAATGTGCACAAGCACTTTTAAAAACTGGTGCCGTTAATATATCTGCTTTTGTTGGTCATGGAATATTTCCAAATGAAAGTTGGAAAAAATTCATTCATTCCAATAATCCAAAAGTTCGTTTTGATACATTTTATGTAACAAATACTTATCCAAATACACAAGTATTAATTGGTAAACCTCCATTTAAAGTAATTTCTATTGCCAAACTTTTATACAATATTTGTTTTAATTGAATTCAAAAACATTTTTTTTTCTTCAAATAAAATATAATACCTTTTTGATAAATGCATGTAGGACATTCAGGTTCATCTGCATTCGATAGTTTTATATCTCAAGCATTTTAAAGAAAACATGAAGCACCATTGAATTGTATACAATAATTGAAATATAAACTTTTGAATGATATTGTAAATGATCGGCAAGGAAGATTTATGTGGTTATCACATGTTTATCGCTGTAGTGATATGATAGAAAGGTACAGATAAGTGCAGATCCACTTTTTGATGGATCTGGATATAAATTTCAGAATAAATAGATCTCGATATGTAGAGCAAAAGTTGTCAAATATTTCAAATTCCTAAATGCTTCTTTCTAGGAAATATTGGAATCGATACGGCTAAAAATACCTTCAGTTGCTCAGCTGCCCAACGCTAGATAGAAATGGATTTTTTCACAGATATTAGACACTGTTGGGAATGCTTACTTTGTGGATTATTTTTATCTCGTTGCATTCAAATAAAAAGATCAAAATATGGAGTGTGTACCCACAAAAATAGATGTTTACTTTACTAGAATTTCTTACGTAAAATCTTCCAAAAATCAATGATGCAATTTTTTCACAAGAGAAACAAAACTAGACTTTCAAATAAATGCTCAATACCTGTAAAAACAGTTTTAGCTCGACCGAACGTACTATGTCGGAAAAACAGGAGCGAATCAGCATCTTTTTTATGTAAAATTGGATTTCGAGGAAAACGAGAAACAAATTTTTCTATATGTATGAGAATTTCTTTTTTTTTACAACTGAAATGATGGAAAACTGACCCGATTCAGAAGTGCTATAGGTCTATAACCCATGTTCTGAGGATCTTTAAAATGAGAAATAATCATTATTATGAGGAGAATTCTATATACAAAGACATATATCAGTGAGAGTTAAGTGTGAGTGTGAACCTTCTTTTTGTTCACACCCACACCCTTAGTCAGAATTGTCTCAAAAATATTTCTTCTATGAATTAAAATACCAAATGATGAGCGTACGAGTTTGTCGCTTCGATCATTAAGCATTAGTTATATTCTATCCCTATGAACATTTACTCTGTCCAGTTTGTCCTACTCACTACTTGTCCAAATGTGATTATTGTGCATCGAATAAGGATGAGACTTTGAAAAAAATTTGACTTCTTTTCATGTTTCAGATTAGAAGATCTCGATCAGAATTTGAACTATTCGAGATTAATAGGCAAACTTTGACCGAATTTATAGACAAATCTGTTTTCGGGTTAACATTACTCACGTGTCATCAAAAGCGATCGTTTATAGTGAACGGTAATGATTCCTTCATATTCGATCATCATTAAATAAATGTGAATATTGAACTCTGCATGGTTTTCGATTACCTAAAGATAATGACCTAGATATAAGATTTCGTATAGAGTAATCTAGTCATTCATTTTAATCCTGTAGATTCGAAAATTATGAATATATAAGAAATCAAATAGGTTTTTCGAAATCGTCTTTATGGCTATATTCGCATAACTGTTTTCTGAAAGTTTTGAATAAATGTAAATATTGGTGTCGAAAAGGTATTATTTTCTTTATAGAAAAAAAGCAAATGAGTATTTGTAAGATATGTGAGCAGTATGTGAAGAAAATAAAGTTAAAAGAAGGATGTGGGTCAAGAGAATCACCCTTCAGAAAACCGTTATGCACATCAAGACTCAAACCTACACCCCAACAACAACTGATCGACGATTATTGACCGGTAAGATTTTATTTCTATTAGATTTGTCCACGATATTCAGTCAAAATTTGTTCATGTTTTTGCAATGAATTGTTCACGTGTAACCTACGTTGATGTTAGATAGATGCTATTGGATGTTCTTCGAGACTGCGAATCGAAATAACAAGTAAAACAGCAGTAATGACTTTCAACGCTGTGCTCTCGTAGATCTCTCACAAAAATACGAATACATGTTCACTCGTAAGCACGTATTCTATGACGAGAAAAAGTCGATCAGTTCTAATAGCATTGCTATTTGCTTTTTGTACGTGTTTTCTTTTTGATTAACTTTTATTTGCATGTGACAATAACTTATTTTCTGAATAAAATTACTTTCATCATTGAAAAATGAGTAACTTTAAAAAGAAATAAAGCGAGGTTTAATAAAACAAGCAAGAATATTAGCTCAATCTTTCATCAGGAAGTCTTATGAGGGTGTGGATGTGTAGGAAACAATAACACCAACACCCACATCCACACCGACACTCTAACTCTCATCCTCATTCTTACCCTCACTCTTATTACCTCGTTTTCTGTTCTCCAAATACCTATATTTTCATAGATACTGTTTTGTTTGCAATAAATTTATATGTAACTATAGACTTTTTTCAATGAAATACTTATGTTCGCGTATAAAAACTTCATTTTATCATCATTTATTAAGTGGTCAATGAAAAGCACAGTAAACAGAATAGTTTTAGATTTCTTTTTCTTTGAAGTAATTTCAGCATAATGCATATAGCAAAATATATTAGTCATCAACTACCTGCGGTCAGAATGCATACGACGGTCACTAGTGGATTAGCATTGGTTACGGCAATCGTGATAGCTTTGATAATACAACGTATTTTTAGGCCACCGAAAGCATGCGATTTAACGAGTGTTTCAAGCCGTGATTCTAAACATTGCTATGGTCTTGTTAATATTTAAAATCCGTTATCACATTATAATGCAGAACAAGGTGGGAGTATTAATAGTAAATACCACCTGTTTTATGATCATATGCAAATATTGCCGACTGGTAGTCTTGAGGATGTGGGTGTTTAGGTTCTGATAGCATTCACACCCGCGATCATATTCACGCCCACACCCGGGTACCACCCATACCCATACTCAAAACATCTGAGTACAGTGTTGAAATTTCCGTCTCATTCACGCAAACTGCAAAATATGCTGATGAAATTATAATCCTTTTTTTATTCTTCAAGAAGATTCGAGATTCACTTCAACAGTTTCTTCTCCATAAATTGCAACGTTGTGCTTTTTTTCGTTCGTTTTCTTCTTTTGATGCAATAGCAAGAGACCTACACCAATGACGAAACATTCATTTTTTTCTTTCGCTGTTTATAAAGTGGCACGATAGATGCATTTCTTCTTCCTCGTCACAGGGGGGGGGGGCGATAAACATTATAATTATTTCATCTTTTCTATATATTCAGTGTATGTCTGTCAGTCTATGAGTTACTAAAATTTCTCTGTATATGTTTGCCTATTTCTACGTATGTGCGGCTATGAGTGTGAGAGTAGTTTCAAATTACGAGAAGTAACACACCCATACTCACACCCTTCTCAGTCCATTTCTCGCATCTATCTTCCATTTCTTACCTAGGGACTCACTACACTCTATATTCAAGAAAACAGAATTACGGGAAAGGGAGCCTTCCATTTGGCTGCAGGACTGCAGAAAAATAAGACACTCACTACATTGCAACTCGAATCAAACCCTATCACAGACGAAGGGGCAAAATATTTGGCTGATGCATTGCGAACCAATGAAGTGAGCACTAGTCTTGCGAAACTTTCTTACATCTATCTTCACTTTTAAAAGTAGACACTAACCAGTCTAAGTCTCAGCCATAATTCTATATCAGCTAAAGAAGTACAATATCTGACTGGTGCATTAGAGGCTAACAAAGTCGTCAAAACTCGTTGCTTATCTTTCATGTATTCATGTACTATTTTTCATGCAGGCGCTGAGAGAACTGGACCTAACTGCCAATTACATTCAAGCTCAAGGAGCATAGCACCTGAGTGTTGCATTAAGGTTCAACAAGGTAGTATACTTCACACACGCAATTTTCCAATATCGATCTTCGCATTTGGTACAGACACTCACTTCACTGAATTTGCATGCTACTTGTATTGTTGACGACGGAATGAAATATCTCAGTGATGAATTAAAGAAGAACAATGTGTTATAGTTTTCTCATTTTTTTCTCCTTTACTTATTCTTAGCTGTTGCCATAGACACTCACCAGACTAAATGTAGCGATACATCAGATCTCGAGCAAATGGATATATCATATAACATGTACATTACGAGAGAACAAAGTGAAATATGTTTCCCAATTATCTCTTACTCATACACATCTTAACCTTTCATATAGGCACTGACAGAACTGAGACTTCGGGATCATACTATCGACGATGGCGGAGTACGACATCTAGCTGATGCATTAAGAGAAAACAAAGTAATGCATATTTATTGTTCATCTACCTTATAGATTGCTTTATTTCATCATACAGGGTGTGTGTGTGTGGGCCTGGGGGTGGGGTGGGGGTGGAACAACGGAGAAAAAGCAGATTCTGTCATCCAACATCTCTCCAAATCTTTTAAAATCTTAAAATCTTTCAAAGTCTCTAAAATCTCTTGAAATGTTTTGAAATCTCTTAAAATCACTATAAATCGCTTCGAAGACGTTTAATTTGATCCGAAATCTTTTAAATAGTATATTTCTTACGAACTGTAGAGAAAATTTTAGCTGCAGCGACTTCTCATATTTTTGTATATGCCGATCAGTGGCGTAACCACGGTAAGACCATTGGCCGATTGCGCACAAATTCAAAAATAATTGTCCCCTAAGTCTTTTAAAACGATACCAGATGTCCAATGCCGAAAAATATTGATATGCATGGATGCACAAAGACCTCAATGGTGTCATTTACAAACTTTGTATCTTTTCGTGAGCTAATCAAGTGATTAAGAACTTAGGTCAAACAAGCACGATCGTAAATGCCCGTAAGTCGTCGTACATTGGCGTATTATATAGCTCAGTATTACAATCGTATATCTCCACCCAAGTCAAGTAGCCAGAAGCAAAATCTTGTAAGATCAGACGAAATCGTGCAAAAAATTATAGCACATGCTGATGTAAGTAAGATTAAAGGACCTACGATTTTGATTGCGATATTGGTATGATCTTGTTAGATCTTACCCACTGATTGTTTTACCTGAGTTTAGGATCTTCGTGAACGAAGTTCGTATACGATCTACGTTTTGCACCGTATTTCTCCGTTTCTGATCACAGCGATATACGATCGTAATACTGAGACATGTAAACCGTCAAAATACTGTTGTTTACGGAGAAATACGAAATATATTTGGGTGTTTATGAGTGTATACGGACTCGGTATTCGTCAGCTTGGGAAAGCTCAATTGGCTGTATTTTTCATTAAACTGATGGCCACAACGATGACAATTTAATGATTTTTTTTTCATCAAAATGCTCGTTATTCCACTTGAATTCGCTGATGGTGTGGGTGTGGTTATAAGTGTGGATGTGGGTATGATTTTATCTTCATATCAACCATACCCACTCACACCCATACCCATTCGCAATCAACAGTAGGATAACTGATGGCGGAAAAACGTTTCATTTATCGCCGTTTATTCTTTTTCATCATGACTCATAATTTTCTTTCCTTTTTATTTCAAATTTCCAAGTGATAAGAACGAACAAATTTATCTGCTTTCGTTTGAAAGTTGTTGTCGTCTGCATATTTTTTGTCTTTCATCTGGACGAAGCAAGAAATAGTGGCATCGCGTCGTTTGAGTATTGCAATTATAATTGTAAGTCACGATAGTACGTAGTTGATGCTGCTGAAAAAAAGAACTTTTTATTTCGTTGCTCAGACAGGAGAACATGGCATCAGTTACTGCCAAACAACCATGTATCAAATGTGATAAAGGTGGAGGAGTCGCCACATGTGGTGGATGCCAACAATGGTTTTGTGTAAAACACTTCAACGGACATCGACAAGAGCTTGCCACCGGAATGGATATGTTAGGGGAAGAACATGATTTACTTCAACGAGATCTGATCCAAGACATTGCTGCACATGGTTTCTTATCTTGCGTGAATGATTGGGAGCAAAAATCGGTTACGAAGATTCAAGCAGCAGCAGAACAAGCTCGAATCGATATACAAATATATCTTGATCAAAACAAGCAACAATTGAAGACATCTCTGGATCAAATGACTAATGAATTGAAATTGGGTCGTCAATCAGACGATTATACAGAAATAGATTTGAAGAAATGGATGGAACAAATGAAACTAATTCGAGAGATGCTTGAGAAACCATCAACAATTCGCATTATTGATGATGACGATGCAGACTCCATTATTCATCTAATTCAAGTAAAACAAACTGAGACGATGGGCAGAGCAATTAGACCATTAGAAAAACCCACCATTGTAACAAGATCAGGTAGGTGATCTCGAGTTCGAATATTCTAGATATTTATTGCATTTATCGATCAGAACCTGATAGAACTCTTCGGATTCTGATTACACAGGACCATTCATGTAAAATACGAAAAAAAGTTTTAAGTTTAAACGGAGATAGATGTTTTTCTTTTGTGACTGTGAAAAGGCGTTCAAAAGTCTTTTTCAACAAAGTCCTGCGAGTTATTTCATCTTAAACTATTTCTAAAAGGAAAACGCGCATAAGAGTTTGTTGAAAACGATTTGTAACGCATCTTTTTGGCCAGAGGGATAACATTTTTTGTTGAATTTTTATTAGTTTTTCCATGAGCGGTGCCTGAAAATGTTCTGAACTGAAGAACTATCCATGAATGAGTGTTTGTGGCTGTGCGACAAATAATGACGAAGTGTACAATAAATCTTTTTTTCGAAAGGCTTCGATCTTAAATACATGGATATGAAAGTTTATGAGTGGGTGGGACAGTGACGGCAATGACGGTTATGAGAAATAGCTTTTCGTTCATACCCTGTCCACCTGTCGACCTATCCACCCACTCGCTCGCTCATAGTTTTTCATTTTTCGACCTCTTGGATTTTGGAAGATTCATTCGAAAAATGAAAAATTTTATTTTTCGATAAACCCTCTATGTTCGACGTAATGTCATGCGCTGATTCTGAATAGAGATTTCTGATGGTGAACTGAGTGTGTTTTACGAAGAAAAACATGAAAAATTTACTAAATTTTCAAAGATTTCTCTCGGTCAATATTTGTTTTACAAGTTTCACTTTCCAGTCATTGAAATGAAAAGCTAAACAAAAACTGAATCGATGCAATCGAATTCATGTTATGTTTCGCATTTCTGGTATTCCTTTTTGATGACTAGCTAGGGTCAATACATTAAATGTTTATTAATATCAGGCTATCATAAATTTATGCATTTAGAATATGGCATGTATCATCCGCAATATTCACAAGAGAATATTTTACATAATACAAAAAAGTCGGAGCAATTAATTTTGACGGTAGACACGAAGGTAGGAAGTTCTCTATCATTCAATTTAAATATACCATTCTGTATGAAAAAGCTATTTTTCTGACATTTCCAAAAAACATCGTACATTGTCTTTTATTAGTGTCAACTAGGACTGTGACAGTTTCTTGTTAGCTTATGAAATTTAGACTGATTCCATGAATAGTTAATAGATAATTATTTACTGATTAGAAGCAAAACAGGAATAGTTCAAAAAACGTGGGTGACCACATCTACTCCTCCTTTGGAATCACAATTGTGGTAGTCCTGATAACAACCAATATTTCTGGAATATATCAGTACGATTTCGAATGAAAGACACTTTTCTCGTTTAATTCGGAACCATATGTAGGAGAGATTACCATCATCTCACATTTGACAAAAATGTGGACGTGAATTTTCCATTGTCGATAGTTGTAGAACATGGCACGCAAGATTTGAAGATTGCTCTTATTTGAAATGCGGTTTTAATTTGGGTATAAAGGCATCTAATGACAAACAACATTGGTCCTGTTGTTATTCACTTGAGCCAGAATCTAATAGATGGAGTCAAAGCGGACTCCACATTGTCATTCAACGTGGAAGTTAAGAGCGAACACTACTCATAAGCATCGTCTGTTCTTAGTAGTTTACGTGATCAAATAGTTTTGTTACTTTCTAATCCTTCATTGTTTTTAAAATATTCACTAGATCTTTATAACATTAATGAATAAGATTGCGAGAGTCTATATGGTAAAATCAACCATGATTTTGTAGCGCATAGACAGGCATCGAAGAATTATTTTCTACTACTCTCATGAACTTCGACGATAAAATATTTTTTATTTGGATGATACCTAAAGCTTCTGTTAAAAAAGCAAAAATTAGTACAAAACATCTTAGACAGATTTTTTCGAAAAAAATCTGCTTTTGATTTTTCCACTTCGACTGACTTGGTGTTCAGAAAGTTCTTTAAATAACAATTCGGTCCATAGATCTTGAAAATTTCATCCAATAACTCATCAGGATTTCAGTGCCATTCGATTCATCACAATCACAAGATGACATTCAAGAAAAAGTACCTTTAACACTCGCAGGTAAATTTTGTTCCAAATGCAAAAAGTAACACAATTTTGTGCAACTCACGTATATTTTCGAAGAAAATAGTGAATGCAAGTTTTAAGTTCAAATTGTGCGACTTCCATTCCCTCTCCCCATTACAGACTTTAGCAACTGAGAATAACAGGCTTCAGACTTTCTTGAGTCTTTTTGCGAATTTGATCAAGTGATAATTTTGAAAAATAATGAATATTATTTTTTATGAGCTGATTAATACATAATAGTGCGTAAGATCTGCTGTAGATGTTATGGCTGTGTAAAACTGACTTATTTGTCAATTAATTCAATAATTATAATAATAAGAATATTAAATAAAGAAAAACGACCTTAAAAAAGTGAAAAATAATGAGCAAACAGCAACAATACAAACCAAAAATAGGGCACCCGTAGAAAAAAAAGAATTTTTTTTTGTTTGAAATGCAGGAACTAAAGACATTCTTACTCTGGTGATCGATTATCCTGCAAAATAACCATAGTCTACAAATGGTTTCTCACTTTACGTATTTTGTATTGGTTTAATGAGACTAGAGAGCATATGTAAGTTCCACATTATAGCTCCGAAGGGGCTAAGTTAACAAGCTTATTTTGCTCTTATCTCATAGGTGATGTGTAATGAAACTTTATTGAAATGACTACGTCACATATCACTATTCACAGGTAGAATAGTACGACAGCTCTCTAGTACCGTATCAGTGCAGGTTTCAGACCTACCGATCTCTTCTACTTAGATCGGTTTCATCTTTGGATATAGTCAATTTTTTAAAAAGTGTTTTCATCATTGTTCATGAAGACTTACTTTTTTTCGTTTTACAGTGATCTAATTTTTATTACTTTTAGAATGATTTACAACGTAAAGTTCAAGATTTAACTGAACAATTATCAGCTGGTGCTGAAGAGTATAAAACCTGGTTTAAAAAATATATTGCACTTGAACATATCATGGAAATGAATTATAGACAAGAAAAATCGCGAATCAAAAGTTTAATAAGCGAGTCTGTTCTTGATGAAGAAGCAATAGAATCAATTCTTCGTACTACATATGAACATCGACAAGCTAAAAAAGAAGATCAAAATGATCATGACAATGAAAATACATCATTACAAAGATCACTTAATGATACTGATGGTGAAATGCGCCTGTGTCCAATGTGTTTTTGGAATTTTCCACAGCATTTGACATTCGATCAAAAAAAAGAGCATATTGAACATCATTTTGCATAAGTTGCATGCAAACCATGAACTATGTATATAAAATATACAGCTACTTCTTTATTGATATACTCTCGCTCTTTCGATAGTCATTGATCTTATCTTCTTCGTTTTCTAGAAGTTCTTTGTTTTACTTAAACATTAATCCATTGAGTACAGGCGACTCGAATTCGCGTCCTGGTATTTTTGGACCTAACTAACTTGAAAAAACACGATTTGTTGATTGTTTAATGATATGAATTGCATGAGTAGTTGCATTCAGGAAATTTGTACGGTTAAGATTATCTATATGTAGTGATGAGTATTGGTTGTGGGTGTGGAATGATCAGGATGTGGGTATGAAACTATTGACACTCACACACACCGCACCCATATCCACATTCACATCCTTTATGTAATAATTTTTATTTTCTCCACATAAAGGAGTACGTCAAGGAGAAAGAGAGAGAAGTGCTTCTATCAAGAACGACTACAGGTAAATAACTGATTTCTTCTATGTGTTAATAACAAGTGCTATTTGTTATTCACGCATTTTATTCACAGTATAATTGCTTCTTGTTTATTTGTAAGAGAACACTATTTCAAGCTATTATGAATAGATGCAAAATGTGTGCTCATGCATGTCGAAACGCCACAAATCATCTATTGATGTGAAATAAACAGCAAAATTAATTGAAACCAGGTATATATATACCTAGAGAGTGAGAGAGAGTCAGTTTCATTTATTCATTTTCGTATTCAACTGAAGAAGAATCAAAATGGAAGGAACTGGACAATTTTCAGAATTAACTGAGAACGATGAAGTTGTATTCGAATCGGTAAATAATGTATTCATTTCGATGCAGTTCTTTTTATCAGTCTGACTTTTTTAGTGGAAACCATTGATTGACAAGAAATTACGAGATACGCTTTCATCGATTCCAACGGATTTTGAGTTAAAACCAACGTCTGTTCGTCGTACACATGCCTGTGGCGTGTTTTACGATTTCAAGGTATGAATAATGTCTTTAGATTGAAGTAACGACTTTTATTTTGTTTTAAATATGATAGGTTGCTCTGCCCGATGGTGCACTTGCCAAAATTTCGTTCAATGGAGGTGCCGGCTATATAATGGGTAAAAAGACACGTGAGCCAACAGAAGATGATATCAAAATTGACATGGAATGATATCTCTACAACATATTAACAGTGTTTTTTTACTGTTAAAGATTTCCATGTAATCCAACTAACGAAGGAAATAGAGAAGAAACTAAATAAATTATTCTTACATTGATAAGATTTAATACTTTGTTACAGCTATGAATGATTAACGTTTTCATTAAATTTCATTTTGTGTACTTTTATGTTTTACACATTGTTTTTTATATGGATTGATTCGATGGCAAACGAATTTATCATTACCACCCGTTGAGCGTTGTTCTGTTTGTAGAATTTGGAAACGATTTCCAAGTTCATGAGTGTGGGTGTGGATCAGGGTTGCCAGGTGAACAACTTAAAAATAAGAAATTTTTATTTTCCAAATCAGAAAAACATCAGAATGCTTTCTTCAAAATCAGAAACTAATCAGAAAGAGTAACTTTCTGCAAGCCAAGGTCTATCATGTTGACATACTTACACAAAATGCTTCACTTTTTTTGTTTATTGAAGATACTTCATATCCAAAAGCATTTCATAGTAAAGACAACAGAAACATTATATAGCTTAGAGTGAAAGATCATGTACTGTAAGATAAGGAGATTGATCATGGTCTGATCAAATGAATGCTCTCACTGTCAAGCCAACTAGTTGAAAATATGAGCTGTCCAGAGCGTACACAGACCGAGATCTTCCAGTGTCAAGAAATTTACAGTTGGATATGTGCCCACACTAGAAAATTCAACAACACTTATTTTTCTTTGATCGTCATGGTTGGGTAGAACACGACGATTTACATACGAAAAAGCAATATCATGCATATTAAAAAGCAAATTCAACGAAGTCTAAGACAACATTTTTTTAACTACAAGGATAACAAACGAAAAATTCTAATTGCTGTCAAATTGATATTGAATATTAGAAAAATTGCTCGTTCTTCCGTCTTACAAATTCAAAAATGCTCAAAAGTGGAAATCTGATCCCTTGTAACTAGATGAATATTACCCTAAATTTTCAACTCTCTAGTCCTTAGTATAGAGGACATATATAGATTTGTATGATAGAGAAGATTTTGTTACCATGTTCTAAAATTAAAATGGCGAAAGGTTACATAAAAACAATGAAAGAAATAGTAAAAAAAAACATCAGAATGAGGAAATATTAGGAGAAGTATAATGAATTAAATTATGTCTTAAGTTGAACTAGATGTTTATGGTATATTTATTTAAATATCTTTAATTGTGATTGAATGTACTTAGGGTTATCCAAAAGTAATGGCGTAGGCACCTATTTTTCTTATAGAAATCTTGAAAAAAATTTTCCTTTTCCATGAACAGATAGTGTCTTTCACTTTATTTTTCTATGCTATTTGATCACTATCAGAGATGAGTACAGGACGACTTTTTTTGTTCTGTCCTGCCCTGCCGCATCATCAACCCTCGTCCTGCTGAGCGGCAGGACAGGACAGAACAAAACAAGACTTAATGCAGGTTAAGCACTATATTTGTTCAATTTTTGATCAAGTCTAGTATTCTTATCCGTATAATGATCTTAACAATTTATTTCAAAATCTTCTCCAGCGTTACTGTTTCACTTGTGAATAAACATAATTCACTTAAACAAAAATAAAAAACATTATAAGTTACCATTTTTAACGGGTGAGACAGAATAAATGGCCGTCTCAGTGTTTCTTGAATGTCTCGCTCAGCTTTGATCACGGAGAGCTGATGGCAGAGTGAAAAGATACCCTGGTGAATTCTCTACAAGGCCTATATCAAACATATTTCTGTACAAAGCTAAACAGAAATATGAAAACAAGAATACACAACACACTGTAAAGGAACAACTTTCAAAACCATTGTTTAAATAATATTGGAAATTGTTTTTAGGATTTCGAAAATAAAACAGCGGTAATGAAGATATTTTTGAGTACTTTGAAGTGTGCTCTTTCTCGCTGTATAACTCAAAGTTCGATATAATGAAGTTGAAGATTGAAAATGCTGACTTTCAAAATCCTATTAAAAATGGTTCAAACGTGATATTTTTCGCCAGCTAAATTTAAGAAGAAAACTTCAGCTTAACTTTCGCCTCTGAATCCGGTACAGTAGCCATTTTTCATCAGAATAAAGAAAATCCAAACCAAAACGATGCGATTTTGGCTTAGTTATGCCTCTTTTTCCAGGAGCTCCGAAATCATAGATTGCTACAGCTAATTTCTCGAAAATCTGAAAAAAAAAGATTATTGGAGTACATCACAAGGATGAATATGAAAATTTTCAAATTAAGATCAATCAATACAGATATTCAAGAGCTACAAAATTCCTATATTATTCTATATTTGTCATCATTAGCCGACGAAAAAAAATCTAACAAACAATTTTTCAGTTTAGAAAGTTGATTTTTTTGAGTGTATTGTGCATTCTTATTTTCACACTCATGCTTCAACACAATACATTATACAGATATTTGTTTAAACAAAATTAATTTATTTCGCAGATTATTACTTATCATACACGATTATTTTCATCTCTATATAAATTTCCTTTCTTACAAGAATAGACAAGACAATTTTCTCTTGTTTTATTCTGTTTTTATCGATTTTAATACTTCATTTTTGTCTTTCAATATATTATTGAATAAGATATTTCTGCATACGGAAAATATTGTTCTAAAGAATTCGAGCATTTTGATTCACCACCTAAATTTAATTTATTTATTTTGGCACAATTAATTCGTGTAGCATCTCTTTTGAAATAGTTTGTTACTCGTTGTAAAGATTCATAATTGACATGAAGAATAATATTGTATGGTAAATACGTTTTAGTATCAAATAGAAATTGTTCTATATAATCATCATGAACATGGACAATAACAAGTTCACTAAGAAAAGAATATTCAATAACAGATAAATTTAGATTATCATTGTTTGATTCATAAAATTGTTTGCAAGTTTGTGGTTTATAATTAATCAAACACAGTTTTTCCATAAATGGAAATGATTGAACAATTCGAAGAAAAAATTCATGTTCAAATGGATGTTCATCAAACAAGGACACCATACGAACATAATTGAATAATCCACCAGGAAAATTATTTGAGATGTCGCTGTAACATTCCATTACAGATGGATATGAGTAAATATGACATAGGCCTCGTTCTGCCTTTGGAAAATAATCAACATAAGAAACTATTTCATTATTTGGAAAATCAATGAATGTACGCTGAATATCTTCTGTTGATGGCAAATTCAATTTATTACGAGTAAACATGGAAGAGCTAATATAAAATGTAAACTGATTTAATCTTGGCATACGATTAATAATGTTTTTCTTCAAATGGTTTCCATCAATAAATATTTCATCAACATGGATCAGAAGATACAAACCCAGCTGTTCTAGATTTGGCATTCGATTTAGAAGTGGGAAGATTATTTCATCGTGATGAGATGTTTCGAGATTACATGACAGAGAAAAACACTTTAGATTTGGTAAATCTCCCTAAAAAACAAAATTTGTTGTGTTATTTGACAACATAGAGGGCTTTCTTGTAAAACTAACTTCTTTTTCACTTAATTCTGTACGATGAAGATTAACCAAAGCAACATAGAGCGTGTGAAGTTGGTTAAAGCGGCCATCGAGAAGATAAAGACAATCACCAAAACATTTTAATCTAACACTCAATTTCAGAAGAGTTGAAGAACGAAAAGTAGGAGGAGGTGGATCATCAAAAAATAATGGAACACGATTTTTATACGATGATTCATACAATATTAAATAAATCAAATTGGTGAAAACATTCAAGATATAATCGCATATGTTTACAACTGTATCTACCGCCTCCATATTATTACCAATTGTAAGTAATAGTGTTGTAATTTGATTTTTGAAAACACCACATGACAGAGTTTCATCTAAATATATATACAATATTAGTAAAAAAAAAACCTATGAAAATAATATCAATATACTCAATGATCTAGTCATCGATATGACAACATTTCATAAATCTTTCATTTGTTTAGAATAAAAACAACTGAATTAAGCTTTCTTACCAGTAAAAAGACATTGAGCTAACTCTTCGTTAATATTATAAAGGCCGAGAGTATGTAAATTAGGATAATCGGTAACACGTAAAACATGTTTCATGGATGATGCTTCAAGATCAAGCCATTTGATTTTACCATGAATTTCAGGTAAAATTTGTAAACAAAATCGATCAAGTACCATATTACAACAAAATAGATCGATAAAATTATGTGAAAACCATTTGACAAAAGTCAAACGACCTGCAAAAATTGAATCATGAACCATTTTATTTAGTCGTTGATTGACACCTTGTAAAGAATAAAGTACTTCAAGATTGTTCAGTTTTTTTAAAATAATCATAAGAATTTCATCAGGTAAATCATTTAATCCAACGCATGAATATTCCATGTTTGGTTTCACTTATCTATTCTTTTCAACTTATGAAGATCAATATGTAGTTATATGCATATAGAGGTATAAGCCATCCAACTGCGCCGCCGCCGCTAACATTTTTAGGAGCAAAAACGTTTTTTTTTTTGGTTGTCAAAGCCGCCTCCGGTGCAGAAAAACATAAAGTATAGTAGTCGCCGCCGCCGCTTGACCCTTCGGCTTACGCCTCTATATGCATACACACTCGTCAGCTCTATTTGACCTATGTCGTCAATACAAACAATAATGCATTGTTCTTGAGTCAAAATTGATAATGAATAAATGTATGATTGAAACAATGTTAAGTTATTTCTTTTTCTCCTTCGACTAATATGTCATATATGATAAAAAGTAATACTCCTTCTTTTTATTTATTTTATAGTGTTTACGGGTATTTGCAGGTTTCAGTTGACACTTAATTAAAATTAATTACTTGAAAAATATTTTTATGACTATATGTGAAAACGAATCTAAAAGTTTTAGAATAGACTCTAGAAGATATAGCTGATTTTAAACTTCCCATTCAGCTATAAGACTATTTCTTCGTTTATATATTCGTACTCCAGCATGTTGCTAACGAAAACTAAAAGAATTTTTTGGCAAAACTCGAGAAAGCCTCATAAATGGTCTAGAGGAGGTATCATTTAGATTTCCAAAAATGTTATCTCAATTTGTCAGTATTTTCTAAAATTAAATGCGTGAAATAGAAATTGATGATCTTTCTAGGTTGAATCACTAATCCTTGTTTTCTGGATGTTAACTTTGTTCAACAAAACTTTTCAAGATTGAATTCTTCAGAGCATGTAGAATAATTTTCCAGTTCAAGAAAAGTTCATTACCCATAAATACATGCATTTTTAGTTTTCCAAGTCACATTGGTAGGGAATGATTTTGTCCATATATGTGTATCATTACATATGTTTATGTTAAAATTATCACGATATAAATAAAAGGATCGTCAGTCGCTTGACCTGGTTTGGCTTTCAGGCAAAACCAGAAAGACTAGTGATTCTAATTTTCCAAGTTTTTTAAAATTCTACGGATTTACAACGTGTGAAGTTCTCTCAAAACTACCTATTTCTTCGTTCAACTTGACCAAAAATTAAATCATAGGCCAAGATCAGACGATATCGAATGATGAATTGTTGTCAATAATATCATATTGATTTTTTCATGTTTTAGAAAAAGATGATCTGAGTTTAGTATAATGAGTGAATGATTCTAATGCAGAAGCAGATAAGAAAACAGTTATATCTAATGATGTTGAAATGGTTGAAACAGAATAAATTGATAGCACACAACAGTCATCGATTCATGTTGTTCAACGTAGATTGTTGGGCAGAAAGCAAAAAAAGAGTTTAGTCTTCCACTGAACAATAGCTTTTTTATTCATTCATGATTTTATTTTTAATAAGATATCAACCAATTAAAAACGACGAAATTTCATATACCAAATCGTCAACTACCGTCAAATATTAGAATTTTATTGATAGAACAATTAATACCACATCAGTACCTGGTCTGACTGGCAGCTATGATATTTATGGATCATTTTCTTGGATTTTCTAAATACTTTCTTGTTCAATTGTTATATATACTCACACACACATATATATATGAGATCAGCCAAACATACAATTCACAAATATTCATCTCATTTATTATTACTACATTCGTTCGAACATGTTCATATCTTTGTTGATTAAATGCAAATGGTGGAATCATATTTTAAAACTAGATAAACCATTTTAAAAAGGGTTTTTTTAATTAATACATTGGTTATTTCAAATAGTGATTGAAATTCTCGAATATCTGTTCAAAGATAAATAAAACAAAAGAAGTTTGATTGTTGCTGGACTAAACGAAAAATTGATTATATTAAAAAGAACAAGTTATAGTTTGAAAATGCCATGATTGTAAATGTCTTCCGAAAGCACAATATTCACTCTCAAGTCTTATAATTGTACTATTAAGACATAATCGATTATTTCCATTGTGATAACGCCTTAATATTCTTAACACTCGATAAAAGAATATTATCTTTTCTTTGGTCAAGTTCGTCATTCATATCATGACGTTAGTATGGCTGGAGGTGTCATAACAAATAAAACTTTTTTCTATCCATTTAAAACGAAAATATCGATAAAAAATAAATCTTTGGTCATTTCTTTGAAAAGACTTATTTTCCAACTAAATTTTGTTCATTCTTCTAATTAAGATTCTAGTTCTCTATCATATCAGTTGTATGTACGAGTTTGATTATCGATGAAGTAGAATGTTTCAATCGACAATTAAGAAAACGATGTCGAAGAAATATTGTTGTCATATTTCGAAAACAAAGAAAAACTGATAAGTCAAGATCAGTTAATTTTGGAAAAATGATTTCAATGAATCATTTGAGATAATGATTGATTATGTGTTAAAGTCGTTGAATGAAGACCCGTAAAAAATATCATGAAGTGATAGATAATTCACATTAAAAACTAAAAAAAGGCAAATGATTTATCTTGCTCACAAATTGCAATTAAACAATCATCTTCATTGGAGAAGAATTCTGATATACAAATAAGTACTTTTAGATCATTTGTGAGTGATACAGAGTTAGTTTTAATGAAATTCCAATCAAATGTATATACATTTAATAATGATGATTTTGTTGTTTATGTTGAACGAGTTTTTCAGGGATATTACCTGAAGATGTGGGTGCGTATGAATACAGTACAAGACAGACCCGTAGCCACACGCACACCCATAGCCACACCCCACACCTAATTGTATTTGTCGCACTAAAATATATTTCGAAGGATGTGGGTGCGGGTTTGGGTACATGAATAGAATTGAAACCTCTCGCTTACCCACATCCACATCGAAAGCCGACAGTTCCATAGCCACTTTCACATTCAGATTCACATGCTTTAACCCTCCAGACTCTCATAGTCCCATTAACACCCTTCAATTCTATGATTCATTTGTTGATACTTCAGCAGTAAAAAGTTCAAATAGAAATCTTTCTAATATCAAACAAGAATCGAGAGACAGTCCAAGAAAGATATTAGTAATGGAACATTATCAATTATTTCGTATTCAATTGATTTAACTAAACATGAACAAGGCATACTAAACGCTGTTGATGCATCAACAATATGCCAAAGCCATTATATGAACTTATTAAGTTATTCCAGATGATGTCCCAAAAGTGGTGATCACTTGATAAATATAAATAACTTCACTACTGTTCAAGTTAAATCAGATTTCTTTTTCTATTTGAAGTAAAAGACTAGTAAGTTTTAATTCGTCAAGATCAAGTTTATCAGAAGTATAGAAAGTGTAAGATTTTTGGATACATTTTAAAAAGATAGACTTTTCTCAGTACCATCAACAATGTGCACGGCTTTTTTTCGATATTTGAATTTTTCTCGTTATTATGGACTTTAGATGATTTAGATCTTTGCTTATTGCTTTTTTATCATCGTTTTTTTACATATTTTAAAACGATCGAACCATTGGTGTACCTCTTCAAGGCAAATCATTTGTGGCTATTCGAAAACTTGAATAATTGTGGAAACAAATCCGTTAAGCCATTTTATGACTCATTTTGACATTAGAATTGATTCTTTTGCTTTCTTCTCGTAGGCATATATCATAACAAGTGTTTAGAATGTTGCGATAAAAGATCTGAATTCCATAATAACGATAGAAATTCGAGTAGATTTGGGAAAAAAAACGGTGTATCTTGTTGGTAGCATTGAGAAAAGCCTAATTTTTAAACTGGAATCGAGAGTGTTATGTTTTCTACACTGTTCATGAACTTGACCTTTACGAGTCGAAACTTACTAGTCTCCTATTACAAATAGAAAAAAAAGATTTTGGTTTAATTTGATCAATAGTCGAGTTATCTGTATTTAATTAAGTGACCATGATTTTTGTAACATTCTCTGCCTTTCATTTCTATTGATCAAGTACCAGATCAACGAATCGATGGCAATAGTAGCGATAAAGATAAAACTATTATCACTTAAATGATTCATAAATATACATGCGATCGAATATGAATTTCACATATATTCTTGTTTCTTATGATCAATTATCTCAAAAAAATCACACTCCTTATTTGACTAGAAGCTAATAGAAGGGAACCGCAGTCAAACATCATTGTCATTGTATGTTATTGTTTTTACTGAATTACGAATAATGTTGATATCGACATGATCAGTAATTTAAGTATAGATGTCATTAGTTGATGTTGAAAAGTCTATGAACAATGAGTGTGTTACATATGATAGGTGCGGTCGTCAGCGAATAATTTCATTGAGGAACCGATAGGATCAGATTCGATGATTTTCAACATTTTATGATCGTCGGAACCTCTTGGAATCTGAAAAACACCAACAGAAATTCTTTTACCAAGATTCTGCGAAATTCCAACAGGATCTGGTTGACAGTTGTCACATTTTGTTGGATTTTGATCGGATTCTACCACAGAATTGTTCATCCTGGATTTCCAGAACGAGAGATCTGACTGTTGGATGCCGTGAAGTCTTATTGAAAACATTGGCAGATTTTGTTGATTCAAATCGGATCCGACAAAATCTGATGATTTCCTTGGTATATAAGGAATCAGATAGAATCCTATCGAATGAGATTGGCCTCGATTATGACGACCTACAGTTTTAAATATGCCCGAATGTGTATATGTACCTTAGTTATGCATATTCTGTTTTATTTTTCAAGCAAAATGACAAGAACATTTAAGGATTTAGTTTCTGTCAATGATCATAATTCTTGTGAATGATTCGATCATTTATTGGTTGAACTGGTCGATAGGTTTTTCGCATCACGTTATTACGAAGTAGATTTAAGCTTTCTTCGGTTATTGCAATTGGTTCGAGAAATATTGTCCATATAATGCCTTCAGTGCACGGTGGTGTTGTCAAACTACCCATATAACGAAAAAATTGTCTGTTCTCGATTTGCATCAGATGACTTAACTTGAAAGTGCAACTCATTGTATCACCGACATTTGTTAATAGACTTGCAATATGTGTATATTTCCTCCATTCATTATTTTCATTGTTGTATGAACGAATAACATGAAAAAAGAATCCAAATACAGAAATTTGTTGAGTTTCAAAATTCTTATAGACAAAATGTCCTTCAGCTGGAAATGTATGTCCATCAATTTCATGTTCAGATCCATGTCTATCTATTCTACCCCAATGTAAATGAAAATTGACAAAATTAAATTTTCCAATTAGTCCACCACCAGTAAACGATAAATCTGTTTGATTTTGATTTTCAGAATCTTTTGGTACTGTAACAGTAACCTGATGACCATTGTTTGTCAATGTAAAGTTAATTTCACATTGGTGATCAGAAGAAAATTCGAATGGCGGATATTGTTCAGGGACCGTTTGGTGAGACTTAATATCGATAGGCGATTGAGAGGTACCACCAGCAGCTGGAAAATGTTCATGCCATTTGGATGGATCATTATAACTCCAATGATCATCAGACTCTTCGGTACAAGACATGATGATAAAAATGTTTAGCAAAAGAAGTTAACAACAGATGCTCGGCAACCAACTAAAACTAAAAGAAAGAAATATAACTTCATCATACTGTGTAAATGTGTTATGACCCCCATTCACACTCACAATTCAATGCATGACAAGTGACAAGGTTACTGAAAAAAGTGCTTTCTTTTTCTTTCTTCTTTCTCTAGCAAGCAACGAGGTCTTGGTGATAAAATAGTTATCGACGTCATTCGCATACAACTAAAGTTGTCTCAGCGAAAAATGATGAAGAAAATCAATAAAATTCTTTTTTTTTCTCTTTGTCTTCTCTATTCAGCATTCAATTCTTAAAATAATTCTCGATGCTTGCATATCGATAGTAATCAACAAAGCGTTATATATGAATACTTGTTTTTCTTCTCTGTATTCTGACCTTGTGGTACGGTGTTAATAACAAGAAAATAGTCTAAGACTATGACACTGTCAATTAGCTTGATTAATTAAAGAAAGAAAATTCAAGAACTCGATACTCGCTCAGCTTTTCTCTACTTTTATCGTTCATTTGTATTTGTCCCACTAAAATATATTTGGAGTGTGTCCTCTGTTCTCATTGCACACTATTCGAACGCTAATTTACTTTATTGATATTTAATTGCGTGTTTATGAGTAGCACATGTTGTATAAAGAAATTGTTTTGTCTTTACACTGGCAGCATACGAATAAGAGACATTAACTCATCCAACATTCGATCAATTACTGGGCTTTGAATTCAGCCAAATGAAAACAGTGCAAAGTCATCGGGACATCCCTGACGAGAGTCATATTTTTTACTACGCTCAAACGATGCTATTTTTAGAAAACTCTGTTTATGCTGGTTCTGTTGTTACTAAACATTGATTTC